TTGGACAGATGACCAGGGAGGAATATAAAAATATTGCTCGAGCATGCAGGGGTGTAATCAGGAAGGACAAAGCACAACTGGAGTTGCAGCTAGCAAGGGATGTGAAGGGTAACAAGAAGGGTTTCTACAGGTATGTTAGCAACAAGAAGAAGGTCAGGGAAAGTGTGGGACCCTTACTGAATGGGGGAGGCAACCTAGTGACAGATGAGTGGGATAACCTGAGGAACTCAATGCTTTTTTTGCCTCAGTCTTCACAGACAAGGTCAGCTCCCAGACTGCTGCACTGGGCAGCACAGTATGGGGAGGAGGTGAGCAGCCCTTAGTGGCGAAAGAACAGGTTAAGGACTATTTAGAAAAGCTGGACATGCACAAGTCCATGGGGCCAGATGCAATGCATCCGAGGGTGCTGAAGGAGTTGGCTGATGTGATTGCAGAGCCATTGGCCATTATCTTTGAAAACTCGTGGCGATCGGGGGAGGTCCTGGATGATTGGAAAAAGGCAAATATAGTGCCCATCTATAAAAAAGGGAAGAAGGAGAATCTGGGGAACTATAGACCAGTCAGCCTCACCTCAGTCCCTGGAAAAATCATGGAGCAGGTCCTCAAGGAATCCATTTTGAAGCACTTGGAGGAGAAGAAGGTGATCAGGAACAGTCAACATGGATTCACCAAGGACAAGTCATGCTTGACCAACCTGATTGCCTTTTATGGTGAGATAACTGGCTCTGTGGATATGGGGAAAGTGGTGGACGTGATATACCTTTACTTCAACAAAGTTTTTGATATGGTCTCCACAGTATTCTTGCCAGCAAGTTAAAAAAGTATGGATTGGATGAACGGACTATGAGGTGGATAGAAAGCTGGCTAGATCGTTGGGCTTAACGGGTAGTGATCAACGGCTCAATGTCTAGGGGCATGTCAAGTGGAGTGCCCCAGGGGTCGGTCCTTGGGCCGGTTTTGTTCAACACCTTCATTAATGATCTGGAGGATGGGATGGATTGCACCCTCAGCAAGTTTGTGGATGACACTAAGCTGGGGGGAGAGGGTCCAGAGTGACCTAGACCAATTGTAGGATTGGGACAAAAGAAATCTGATGAAGTTCAACAAGGACAAGTGCAGAGTCCTGCACTTAGGACCGGAGAATCCCATGCACCACTACAGACTAGGGACTGAATGGCTCGGCAGCAGTTCTGAAGAAAAGGACCTGGGGATTCCAGTGGACGAGAGGCTGGATATGAGTCAGCAGTGTGCCCTTGTTGCCAAGAAGGCCAATGGCATATTGGACTGTATTAGTAGGAGCATTGCCAGCAGATAGAGGGATGTGATTATTCCTCTCTGTTCGGCACTGGTGAGGCCACATCTGGAGTCTGTGTCCAGTTTTGGGCCCCCCACTACAGAAAGGATGTGGACAAATTGGAGAGAGTCAGAGGGCAACAAAAATGATTAGGGGACTGGGTCACATGACTTATGAGGAGAGGCAGAGGGAACTGGGGTCATTTAGTCTGCAGAAGAGAAGAGTGAGGAGGGATTTGATATCAGCCTTCAACTACCTGAAGGGGGGTTCCAAAGAGGATGGAGCTCAGCTGTTCAGAGTGGTGGTAGATGACAGACCAAGAAGCAATGGTCTCAAGTTGCAGTGAGGGAGGTCTAGGTTGGATATTAGGAAACACTGTTTCACTAGGTGGGTGGTGAAGCCGTGGAATGGGTTCCCTAGGGAGGTGGTGGAATCTCCATCCTTAGAGGTTTTTAAGGCCCAGCTTGACAAAGCCCTGGCTGGGATGATTTAGTTGGTGTTTGTCCTGCTTTGAGCAGGGGGTTGGACTAGATGACCTCCTGAGGTCTCTTCCAAGCCTAATCTTCTGTGATTCTATGAACTGCCATGGAGCAACTGCACCTCAATCCACTACGCTGGTCTCTGCGCCTCACGGCAGACCAGTGGCCCTTCTATCCCAGTATCCTGCCCCAGACCAGACCAATGGGCCCATCTCGCCTGGTATCTGTGACCCAAGAACCTCATAATGCCAACTGACAAGGGGGTTACAGAAGTCTCATGAGCCTGGCATGTATATTCCATGCGGGGGTGGTTGGGGGCAGTCCTTGTAAGCAGGTAGCCCACTGGTCAGTAATGTCGGGAGATGTGGGTACAGTTGCCAGGTAAGGAGTTAGGTGTAGACACTGAAAATATGAGTTAAAGCCGTAGCAAGCAGTCAGTCACCAGCAAAGGTGAAAGGAAGATTTTCTCCGGACAAGAAGGGAGAAACCCTTCTTGAGCTTTTTGAGCATGAGCATGAGCTTTCGTGAGCTACAGCTCACTTCATCAGATGAAAGCTTGAAAGCTCATGCTCAAATAAATTGGTTAGTCTCTAAGGTGCCACAAGTCCTCCTTTTCTTTTTGCGAATCAGGATACTGTGTAAGGCCAACATAATTACTGAAGGTTTATGCTCGGGGAATTGAGGCTTATCAGGGAGACATATTATATAACCGTTCACTGCTTCTATGATTCTTCCTCAAAAAAATTGCTGTGCATTGAGCAAATTTAATCTGAATTTTCATGGTACCGGTAACAATCTGCCCAGCTGTGGGCCATTAAAGATCCATTTCAACAATCAGCTGACTCTGGTTTTCAGGATCAGTACATCCCAGTGCTGTGGTGTGATGCCAAGTGCGGACCCTGAGCTGAACCGGACAGGCTGGCGTGTGCTGCTCCTTTGGTAGAAGCAGAGCTGGGAGTAGCCAGTGTCTGCGGCTGGTGCCACAGGGGGATGCTTCCAAGGGACTTGGACTGCTGTTAACCTGCCAGGCCAGGGCACGGCTTGCACAGCTCAAGTGGCTAATGGGCTGGTGGTGTGAGGGAGCTGCCACCCAGCTAAGCACAAGCAAGCCTCCCTCATGCTGGAGGCTGGGTGGGGGACTCATGTCCTGGGTACACCAAAAATCGTCACAGTGTCTCACCTTTCCCCGCTGCCCACAACTGCTTTGGTAGAAAACCTGAAACTGCCAGAATACTCTCAAACGGACAGATTGTCAAAAGAGCTCAGCACCCAGATACTCCATTGGTCGTAAGGGCTGGGGGGGGGCCTGATCTCGTCTGGGGTCTGGGCAGCGCCCGGCAGAACGGGGGCATGATCTCGGCCGGGGTCTGGGCAGCGCCCGGCAGAAAGGGGGTCTGATCTCGGCTGGGGTCTGGGCAGTGCACGGCACAACGGGGGCTTGATCTCAGTCAGCATCCTCCAGTGGAAAATGGACAAGGTGCCTTGACCTTGGCCAATGGGATCCTGGCTTTAGGGCCCTGGCAGGAGGGGCTGGATGCTGAGTGGTTGGTGAGGAGTCACATTATTTAAGATAGTGATGGGTTCCGGGCACCCACTAGAAGGGAAAGGCCCCATGTCCCATTCCCCGCCCTCAAACCAGCCAAAAATCAGGTGTGGGGTTGTGGGCATAATGGGCTGCCGTAGTGCATCATGGAGCAGCTTGGACATGGTAAGGGTGGAGGTGGGCATGGGGCTGGAATAGCTGGGCCTGGAGTGCCTGGAGGTGGGCAAAGAGCCAGCACTGTAAGGTCTCAGGCCTTTTTTCTGCAGCCATATTAGGACAGCTGCAGCCAGGAGCCAAGAAGCAGAAAGTCCCATCCTCACATTCCAGCTAAATTATATCAAAACAGTGTAGTACTGGGCTGTTAAGAAGGCGATTCTGTCCTACTAGATTCGTAGATATTAAGGTCAGAAGGGACCATTATGATCATCTAGTCTGACTCCTGCACAATGCAGGCCACAGAATCTCACCCACCCACTAGTGCCCACCATCACCAGGCAAAAGAAACTGATCTTGAGCGGGTTAAAGAAAACTTTGTTTGATAGCACCCTGTCTGGCAAGGAATCACTTATCAGCAGTGTGGGTGCGAAATCTCTACTTTATTGTTTTGCCTTGCTGGTCCCCACTTCTCTAGTCTGGTTTCTGTCCCATTCTTTGCTTGTTTCTGTCAGTTACATAACTAATTTCACAAGGTGTACATCAAATAAGGTGGTGGGGTTCAAGTGGGTAAAGAATTGTTTCACACTATGTTCGGCTTGGTCAGAGAATTATTTTGTAATACTTCATTAAAGTGATTGGCTCAGTAGGGCTAAACAGGACTCAAGTTTCACTATATAAACTAGGGTCCAAACGGAAGTTCTTGGGAACCAGCTCCAGCCCAAGACCAGGGCTGCCAGACCTCAACACTCTGCCAACCACACCAGGCAGAAGCTGGAGTCCCAGGATGATCTGATCCCGACTGGCCAGCAGGGAAAGTTCATCTGCCTTAGTGGGAGTGATGGGCATTGTATGCACAGTGTGTGTATTCTGTTCTGGTGACTGTTAATACCTAGAGGGTAAGGAGGATATTACTGTGTAAGGCCCCACAAACCTGCAGAAGATTATGCCCTGAGCCCTAGGAACAGGGTAAGGGTAGGTGCCTTTCGCTGGAGCTCTAGGAATGGGGAAAGGATGGGGGTGCCTAAATGAACTGGGTTATACCTTGAGCCCACAGAAAGGTAAAGGTGGGGGGCCCTGGAGTGTGAGGGTAACAGCACAGATGGGCATAGTGCAGGCAGAGATGGGCATGGGGTCACCATAGCTGGGCATGGCGCAGCAATATGCCCCATACAGTACAAACATTTTCTCCTTGTTAATCTCTCAAATGCTCTCCAACAATCCTCCTCTCCAACCCCTTCTGCTCATCTCCAGCCAGGTCCTTCTCCTGGACCTCAACCGCCCCCATGGCTCCCCTCTGAGCCTGCCTGGTCAGACCCGAACCGTGGGAGCCCCCTCTGCTGACCAATCTAGTCCCTGGACCCCCAGGCCAAGGGGGTGCTTGAGCCCCCTGGAGCCCCCCAGAGGGACGGGGTGCTGGACTGCCCAGAACCCCCCAGTGGGAGGGGGGTTTGGGTGCCCTCTAAAGCCCCCAGGGAGGCTAGCGTCCATGCCATGATCCCCTGGGGAGTAGGGATGGTCCCTCACTCACCCCGCTGGATGAGTTGGAGGCCGGTGATGGCTCCTTTTTCTCCTCCTCCTCAGCTTTGGCTTCTAACGTGGTCATCCTGAGCCTAGCGCTGCTGCCAACCAGTGCCCCAGACTCTGCACTGACAGCTTCTTGCCCCACGGCCGCTTCTCTCCTGCAAGGTGAGTGTCCAGAAAGCCCTCCTCGGTGCCGTGCCCTGCCCCTGCCTGTGCCTGCCACAACAGTCCCAGGTACCCATCGGCATTAGCGATTTATAGAGCACTCCTGCTCCCCTCCCCCAGACGGCCCGGTGCCACCCCCCAGCCTTCCCTCCCCCGCTGCCTTGATCTGCCCACCCAGATCCAAATCCATATTTTAATAAACAGGCATCCAATCTGCTCGTCCATCAGATCCCCATAATCTGCATAAAGATTATCCCGGATAATTGTCTCAAAAAAGCCACCCGCGTGCTTCGTTAGCATGCGTGAGTGCGCGTGGGGGGGCGGGGCGGGAGCAGTGTGTGCGCACGTGCGAGCCAGCTGCTGGGGCAGCTGACCAGGGTCTGCAACCCCAGACCACAGGGGCACCAAACCCCCCGCCCCATCCAGAACTGGCACCAGCCTCCCACTTTGTGCAGAACCAGCACGAAGTCCCTCCCACTCTGACCCAGCCCCACAACCAGCCCCACACCCTGATCCAGTACAGACCCCAGCCCCACACTCTGACCCAGCCCCACAACCAGCCCCACACCCTGACCCAGTACAGACCCCAACCCCACACTCTGACCCAGCCCCACAACCAGACCCAGCCCTCCCACCCCTCCAGAAGACTAGCCTCTCCAGTCAGAACCAGTGCCACCCCCCATGCCAGTGCCAGGTCCCACCCTCAGAACCAGCACCCCCAGCTCTGCCCCAGCGCCAGGCCCATCTCTTGGATCTGGCACCGCAGGGGCTTCTTGGGAGAGTGAGGCAACATCAGGCCCCTGCTGAGAACTAGCCCTGGATTCCCCACTCGGTTCCAGCACCGGGTCCAAGAGCTGAGGGGACCATGGTGGCACCAGGCCCCCATTACTCGGAGCCAGCTGCTTCCAGCCCCTGGCCTGGCTCCAGATGAGCAGGGAAGACTCTCTCCTCCCGTGGCACTCAGGGCACCCCCTCAGCACCATGGCAGCCCCCGGCCCACCCCTGCCTCCCCCTCAGCTGGGGAGAACTGTCCGTGCCCTGGGGAGAGAGGCTGTGGGAGCTGCTGCCCTGGGGGGCGAGGGGAGCAACAGGGGAGGAGGGAAGAGGAGAGGAGTAGCCCATGACAGGGCAGGGCAGCAGCCAGCAGAATCAGGACCGAAACGCTGCCCTACTCCCTGTCTGAAGGGGCAGGGGCTGATGGCTGGTACCCCCAAAGGCCAGCCTGAGGCTACAAACAGCACCACTGAGAACAGCTGGGCCTCCACCCCTGCCCATGCATGCTCCATGCCACCCCAGCCATGGCAGAGTGACATTGTCCTGTGAGGAGGGCAGTGGGGTCTATAGGGGTGGGCCTGGAAGCCAGGACTCCTGGGTTCTAGCCCCAGCTCTGGAAGGGGAGTGGGGGGAGGGGGAGAGGGGTGTCCAGTGGTAAGGGCTGGGTGTCAGGACTCCTGGGTTCTATTCCCAGCTTTGCTTCTTCAGACAAATCACTGCCTTTTGTCCCGGGAGTGTGAAAGGGGGAAGAGCTGCAGACTGGCATTGCGGGGGTGGCATTGTGGAGGGGAGAATGGGGGGCATTGCGGTGGGGGGTGGGGGTGAAGGTCACAGGAACGACTCTCCCAGGTGTTGGAGGACAGCGAGGGTGGGTGGGGTCAGGAATGTGTGGGTGTTTCTCCTTCCTCCACCAGCCAGGCTGGGAATTGGGTCCCACCTAGTTTGTTCTGGCTGTGGGGTTAGCTGGCAGCCAGGGTAGCAGCTGGAAATGAATCCCTCTGAGGCCCTGGGATGTCAGGAGATTAACGCGGCTCAGAGTGGGGCCCTGGCACTATTTCCCAGCACGACGGGGGGTGGGGGTGGGGGCTGGGAATCCTGGCCCCAGAGAACAGGCCAGGGGCTTGGGAATGCTGGCTGTCTACAAGGGAAATCCCCATATGGTGGGTGGGAGTGGGGAGGATGCCAGGGAGGCAGAGAGCTCTGTGGGGCAGAGGGATGGCTGCCCCAGCATGGTGCCCAGGAGCCTTGCGGGGGCACACATCTGGGAGAGTTCTGAGCAGACTCACAACATGGGAGGTGCCCAGGGTGGGGTCACACCTTGAGGGAGCCTGGAGAGGGTCATACACCTGGGGAGGTGCCCGGATGGCGCTGGCTTTGGCCAGCTCCTCTTCAGCAGCTGGGGAGAGACACAGAGAACAGTGGGGTCAGGGGAGCAAGGCTGGGGGGTGGAGGGGTGGGCTCCTGGGCATCAGGGCTGGGGAACACAGTCCACTCCCCACCCTGCCCCTCAGCCCCTGTCCTGTTCTCCCTCCCCACCCTGCCCCCAGCCCTGTGACCCTGCCCCTCAGCCCCTGTGACCCTGTCCTGTGCCCCCTCCCCACCCTGCGACCCTTCCTCCCCGCCCTGTGGTCCCTGCCCCTCCAGCCACAATGACCTGCCCCAGCCCCCACCCCACTCTGACACTGCACTCCACTGTCCACCTAACCCCCTCTCCCATGACTCTACCTCCTGTTGCCTCCACCTAACCCAGTACCTCCATATCCCACTGCCCCCATTCCCATCCCCACCCTGTGCCCTCACACCCTGGTGCCCTACCCAGGATTTCTGCCCACCCTGGTTTCCCCCAGCATCTTGACCCTGTGCTTCTCCTACCTGGGCAGACATGGCCCTGCGGTGCCACGAGAGGGGGATGGTGCCACGGACAGCTGGTCCCACCTGGGGAATACAGCGAGGTATTGCCTGATCCTGCTGAGAATCTCCCCTGGTTCTCACCCCACTGTTATTCACCCCTCCCAGCACCGCTGCCCCTGGCAGACATGTGGTCCCCTCCAAAGAGGTCACCTGCCTAGGGTGGCTGCAAGAGAGAGGGCAGGCCAGTGGTTCACAAGCTGGGTGGGGACTCAGGATACCTGGATTCTAGTCCAGGCTCTGCCACTGACTCCCTGGATGATCTTAGGCAAGTCACTGCCTTGCTCTGTGCCTCAGTTTCCGTTCTGTACAATGAGGATAACAATTCTGTCTTGGCTATTTGTGCTGTGAGCTCTCGGGGCCAGAGGCTGTCTCTCACTGGGGCCGGGGAGAGGGCTGTGTAGGGCCTGGCACAATGGGGCCCTGAATGATCTGCTGCCAACACCAGGGCCCTGCAGCACCTCCTGGGGCAGAGCGGAAGCTAGAACCAGGTTCTCTGGCACTGGGTGTTCCCTTGGTAATGCTCCCCCAGGGGGAGGTGCCTAGTGCCAGCAGATCTGCCCTCCAGCAGGGAGAGCCTGGGCAGACCCCCAGGGTCAGGGGTGGGTCTGGGGGGAAGGGAGTCTGGGCTGGCAGAGACAGATTAGAAAGGGGGGTTGGTGGGCTCTGGGGCTGGCATCTTGAGGGAGGCTCCATGGGACAAAGAACAACATGACTAGCACCCCCTGCTGGCTGAGCTCAGCGCACACAGGCTAAATGGGGTCAAAGATTGTAAGGCCAGAAGGGACCATTTGCATGTTTCAGGCCACAAGTGACCTGGGCCCCCCGCTGCAGAGGAAGGCGAAGCCCCCCAGGGTCTCTGCCAGTCTGACCCGGGGGGAAATTGCTTTGCAACCTCAAATCTGGCAAGTTAGACTCTGGGCACGGGGGTAAGACCCAGCAGCCAGACCCCTGGGAAAGAATTCTCAGTAGTACTGGAGGAGGAGACCCACCGTGAGGGCTGTAGTGGGGAACCCAGGGATGTTAGCCCAACTGCTAGTGGGCAGGATCTCCGAAGGGAGACCCACCACTAAACAGGTTCAGCTCAGCAAGTATGAGGGAGAAACTGTCTCCCACGGTTTGTCTCCTGGGAGTGGTAATTTGCCTGTTCAAAAAGCCATCCCAATCTCCCAGTGTTTGTCTGTGACTAGCCATGTGGTCTGTGACAAGGGGGAGGGAAGTTCAAACTGTTGGTCTCCTCAGAAAAGCAGTTTAACTGCTGGGGGAGAGAATGTCTCCAGGGTTCTCTCTGTGGAGCAGGCAGAAGGCACCTCTCAGTTTATGCCGACTGAGGATTTGTCAGTTGTCTCAGAAGTTGTTCTGGACTCAGCTGAAACCCAGAAAGATGCTCAGGAAGATGTTTCTGTAGAGCCACCCCTAGCTGAAAAGGGAGAGGAGAAAATTTCTGGAGAAAATGAATTGTTGCCTAGAAGTGCTCCTGAAGGAATAAAACCTCATGCTAGCTTTTGCAAGCAGTTTGCTGTAACTGAAGGGTGTGGAAGTGAGTTGATTGAGTTAGTTCAGAACAGTGTAGGTGCTGAGAAATTTGGTTCAGTTTCTAGCTGCCAAAGTTTCTTAACTGTGTATAAATCCACTGACTTTGTTTTAGAAAGATCCAGGGTGGAAGCCATCCCTACGGAAACCAACACTGCCTCTGTCACTACTAAGCAGCTCTTTACACATCCCTGGGAGGGCCGCTGCTCTGTTGTGAATCAGGCCAGCCCCAGTGTTTGTCAGATAGAAATCCTGAATGAAAAAAAAAGGAAAACCCAGGCGGAAATGTTTTAATTCTTCACAGCTCAAAGAATGGAAGGATAAACCACCTGACCCTAAAGACTGTCTTCTCCGTCCTATCGGCCACCCTTCTTGGCCAGCAAGAAGGAACAGCTTTGAGCCGTTGGAAAATATGCATCGAGTGGGCTGGTCAGTGCGTACCCCGATGTTAGGGTAGGAAAAGGCCAGAAAAGTCCTTGACTTATTATGGCCACCCTCACGTAGGTCACCACTTCAGGTTCACCCTGTAATATTAATCCCAGATTCTCCCAGTATATATGGTGGGATTGTGGGAAGTTTTTCTCTGTTCTCTGCCCCCTCACTAGTCCACTACACAAACCATGACATCGCACTGGTGCACCAGCACCCTGCTCTTCATAAGTGTCTGGAGTCTGATGCTGTCCAGGCTCTAAGCTGTACCTGTGATCCCTTTGAGCCTCTGGAGGGGCTTGCCAGCTGGAGCCCAGGAAGCAAAATTGCTGTGCCACATGCATGGATTCTATGGGAATGGGAGCAGCCCCCGACCCTGCAGCGTCACTACCAGTTCGAACGGGACAAACACCCCCAGTGACAGCCTCCGGGCTGGTGAAAGGTGCAGGGTAGCTCTGATTTCCTCTGTTGTTTGGGGAACAACCATGCCCCTATGTGTCATCATTGTCATTGGAACTCAGACACCTCCGTTACCTGGAGAGGAACTGCAGCTGTCTCTGATCACGCCAGCAGGCAAGAATATCACACGATTCCTCATAAACTGGGAACTGCTGCACTGGACTTTAGCTGGATATTACTTGATTCAGCAAGGTCCCCTAGACTGGGTAGTTCCATTAAAGGACACACATTGTGACAAGCTCATGCCAGCATTTGGTTTAAATTCGAAAGGCATATGGCCATTTCGGAGGGATTTCAAGGGATTGTACAGAGTGGAATTGGGCCAACAACAAAAAACAGTTTTAAATTTCAACCCTCTGATCACACACCTTGCTCCCCTCTGACATTTAAGAGCCCCAATTTCACGACCCCATGTGTTGAAATTGGATCAACAAGAACATTTGGTTCTTCAACCTCAGACTTCTCTGAATGAGGTTCAAACCCACTTAGAGGGCATGATGACAGGTTTCAGAGTAACAGCCGTGTTAGTCTGTATTCGCAAAAAGAAAAGGAGTACTTGTGGCACCTTAGAGACCAACCAATTTATTTGAGCATGAGCTTTCGTGAGCTACAGCTCACTTCATCGGATGCATACCGTGGAAACTGCAGCAGCTATTACCAGCAGGACAGTGGGGTGGGAGGAGGTATTGTTTCATATTCTCTGTGTATATATAAAGTCTGCTGCAGTTTCCACGGTATGCATCCGATGAAGTGAGCTGTAGCTCACGAAAGCTCATGCTCAAATAAATTGGTTAGTCTCTAAGGTGTCACAAGTCCTCCTTTTCTTTTTTAGAGGGCATGAATATCTCTCACATTGCACCTGCATGTGCTCCCTTGATTGGACCTAGCCATAAAGATTGGGATGAATGAGTAACCTGGGAATAAGTCTCACTGTTCCTTCGATGTTATGAAGGAAGAGGGGTCTGTTATTGTCTATGTTGGTAAATCCTATGTATATATACGTACACAAGATGTAATATTGTACTGATTAATGGACATTGGGTCCAACCCATGGTGCCTTATGTTAATCGCTGTTTCGATAATGTAATCACCATTGTTAGTTGTGATATTAAGTTTACTGTGCCTATATGCATTGTACAACATTGAAATGCCTCTCCTGAGCTCTACAAGGAGGTTTCCCCCATTTCACTGGGAATGGGTCTCATTGCCATTAAGGTAAAAACACAGGCCATCACTCTCGGTGGGAGACTTTGGTTAGGCGGAGCCCCAGTGCAACAGGTCTTTTAAATATCATGCTTCACCCCATTGTGGTGATCATTGGTTTCCACATTGTACTAGCAATTGGTCTGATTCTGCTGGTTTGTTGGATACCATGACTGATGCGGTGGCTGCAATGCATGGAAGATCAGACCCAGTACCACAGAGTAAGGATGTGATCGGGATACTTGCTCAGCACAAGCACCCCATCAACGGGGTGGACTTGATACCACTAATCTCTGTGTTTTTGGGAAACCAGGGCGCAGTATTTAGCCTGTCTGACTCATAAAGGACACCCCCCCGCCCCCCGTCTCTGTTTGAGCCAAAACCAATCAGAGAAAAGGCTTGCAGAGAACAATGAAGGGCATTGGGAGACACACCTAGACCCCTCCTGAGAAGGGTGACAAGATTAAGACATCTCCATGTGCATACAGAATGAAGAACAGAGACAACTCCCCTAGCCTCATCTGCATGAAAGATGGGACAGGGATTAGCATAAAGAATGAGGAACAGAGAACCGTACTGAACTCTGGGACCAGAAAAGCAGGGATGCACTGCATCATGGGAATCCCTGCTCCAGAAGTTAATGAACCTACGCCTGCACACACCCAGCTCAGCAAATATCAGTTCAATTCTAGAAATAAATCTTTGATTGATATCCCAAAATACTGAAGCAGCCTAGTTGCCTTGTGAGCTCCCTGGATGAAAACACCACCCATAGCCAAGAGTAATCAGCTCCTATTGTCTAGCCTAAAGAAAACCCTTGAGTCATCAGTTTACCTATAAACAAATCTAGTGTTCTCCCTTGAACCATTGTATTTTCTCTACAAACCCCTTATCTATGCCCAAGTAAGGGTTCTGATGTATAGACCCAAACTCTGCTTCAGTTCCACTGGGATTCCATCTCCTGACTGATCGTGCGGGGGGCTCTGCCTGTCTCCAGCACTCAGGACCCTGAGCTACCACCATCACCTGGGAACCCCACCCAGTTCAAGCCTCATGGAGTGGGTGAGATCCCCCCCCCCACCCCTGATCTCTGTTTTCTTTTCTACCTCAGGTATTAACCTTTCAAATGTAACTGTTATGTTTGTTTAGCCCTCCTTGCGTAGTTATCACTATTGTTCAATAAATAACTTTTATGGTTCAGCTGGTTGCTTCTCTCTCTCTCTCTCTGAATTTTACTCTTTTG